AGATATAAACCAATGGAATAGTCAATGGTGAACCAGACGCACCACCCGCAATTTGTCGATACAATTTATTATCATAGACAAAATATTGATTATCAAGAACGAGACGAACCAATTGAAGAATGGTACCAATGGTCATATGTTGAACTTGATTATCCGATATATAAGAGTGTAGGAAACGTTCCAATGCATTGATAGCATGGGAATGAGAAAATTTCGTACAGAGATCATCGATATTGAATGAAGCAAATAAAGTTGTTGGTTGAAGATGTCCACCTTGACGATAATGCTCAAGAATATGTATGACATCAACAGATTTAGAAAATAATTTGCAATGTGTGGCTTCATTAAAAATTAATCCAAGTAGATGACCAAGATAAGGAGCGATACCCATCGTAGGTCCATCATTGCATACCATGATGGGTCGAATCGGTTTGTCATCCTGTGTATCAATATGATCAAATACAATATAAATAATTAAAAAAGAAAACCGAACACCTACTTCTCGAATATCTGCGACGAAATATAAATAATTCATTCGTACAAATGATCGATTGATACGCATACGCCAATGTTGTACTTTAGAAATCTGTTGGGAATGAAATAAATTGTCCAGTGTTGTTTCTACTTGATCGACGATAGTAGCTAAATATTGTTGACTAGCATCCCCATTAGGATACGTTAATTTTTTAATGAATGAATAAATGTCTGTTTGTGTCATAAAATGGGATACTTTTTGTTGGAATTCATTAATTGTATACAAATGAAATCCATTGCCTTGGTAAGATGGTCGTAAAATGAGATTTTTCTCAACCAAATCACGTCGAATCGCTTGAAATTTTTCTTTGTTTTGACGAGCCTTTTCACGATCATATCGATTCATTGATCCTTCTTCCATAGAAGAAATGAAATCAGGAACATCACAGCAGTCAAGATTTTGAAAAATTGGTGTCTCTCGATGATGGTCAGATACATGGCCGTCGTTTTCGTCTTCGGACGAAGATGAATCGTCATCTTCATTGATTTCGTTCTTCTCTTGATAACAACTATCATTAAAATTCCAACAATGTTCAACTTTCACCAGTGTATCATTTGATAATGATGGGATCGTACTTTCAGTAGTTTCGTATATTTCGACGTCCATTTCAAAACTAGGATCAGATGAAGAAAAAGGTTTGCTTGATTTTTCACTAATATCTACAAGAAAAGTAAAGATGTGTATGATATCTCGGTGCGAACAATATCAAGTTATGGTGAATAGATAGAGACAAGTTCGAATGCCAATGACCGTTACTTTTCTATGGTTAGTGAAGTACGATTGAGTATAGAGGAAGTACAAGTGAAGAATGGTGAACTCTCTCGCCCTTTCCCCCTTGAGATCACTTCATCCATTCTTGCCACTTTACCAGACGCTTTTGTAACTCATTCGTTTTTTATTCCCGTTCATGTTCCATCGGTTTTTGAAAATTTTTCAATTGATATTTTGCGGTCCATTATGAATTGAGCAAAACTCGTTTTTCTTAATGCTTCGCTTTATCATGGTTGTATTTTAAGAAAGTAATATAATTTGAGCAAAGAAACTTGTTTATGGAATAAATTCATCTACTGTCGTAGAAGACTACATCGAATATGATGATAAACGTAGTTAAAATCACATTCATTCGAAATAATAAATCTTTTGTCGATGAATGATGTTGCTATTGGATGAAACAGTTCTCTGTTATTGGTATCGAAACAATGAAAGAATAATCTGAAAGAAAAAATCACATTCAACCAAAGTCATTGATGATCGATGAATTAAAATGAGAAACAAGAAAAAGAAAACACAGCTATGATTTAATGGAAGCAAAACATCTATCCATGGAATTGTCATTAGAAAAAAGCAATAAGAGAAAAGAAAGAATGAATCAACTAACAAATACAAAAGAATGATATTTTTCAAAAACAGATCAAACATGCTGTAGGAGCACATCTTATCTAGAGTCATACCATCATTGCTTAGATGTAAGTCGGTGACGGTAACGGTGAGGATGGTGGTTTTCGTGGTGATCTTGATGAATAACCATAAAAACAATGCATAAAAGTATCCTCTTGAGTACCATCATAAGTCTAGAAAAAAGGTTTTCTTTTTGTATGAATAGTGTGAAATAAAAGATTACCTTTGATTGACTCGCTTTTTCAACAGTATCAAAATTCGTATAATAATGATGGATACAAGGCATTTGTTGTTGTTGTTGTTGTTTCTTAGTCAAACATTGACATCTTTGACAACAGAGACAACATAAAATGAGTAGCAATAACAATATGATGAGCGTAACACTGATGAGTAAAATTAATAATTGTAAATCATGCTTGTTCAGAATCTTCATTGCAGGAATAGTAGTTAAATATTTTTGTGCTTTTATGTAAGTAGCATTGGAAAAATCGATCAGATTTTGTATTGTTTCAAAATAAGGTCTTTGTGTTAGAGACGATAATGGACTCGTTGTTATATGAGTATCATTAGAAATGATCGACATCATGATTCAATGAAAAGTGACAGAAGAAAAAAGGAAGCAATGCCTTTGTTGTCTAGAAAGAAAGAGATAGATTATTTTCAATGTTTATATCGAATTACATTTTATATCTAAGTGTGTCAATGTAGAAATAATGATATGAACTATTAGTAAGAAAAGAAAAGAAACATAGTAAAAAGTTAGAATAAGAGTACATAAGTGAAGTTAGAACTCTACAGTTTTTTATCTATCTTTATAAATATATGTATATATATATATATATATATATATATCGGTCTATTTTATAAAATAGCGCATCATTTTTTTTCATAGGCAATGAATATAATCCTACACATGCTAATGTTCCTGTAGAACTAGAGTAACGCGAATAAAAGAAAAAACAAAGAAGAATAAAACTAAAATGCGAATAAACATGATTTTTGTCCTTTTTGTATTCAATTGTTTTCCTGGTGACCATTCGCTGCCATCATTCGATTAGGAAGACGAATCAAGTCATTTTGTTGAAGTTCATTCTTGGTACGACGAGATTCTTTTCGCTCAGAATATATTATTAAACCAACTATAAAAAGTGTTAATATGATCATGAAAATAACATAGATATTAGTTACAATAGTGACGAAGTCCTTGTGGATAAATAAGGGTAATCGAGTTCTATTTTCATTGGCATTCTCATTATAATATGATATTGAAATGTTCTTTTTCATCTCATCAATGGTATGATTATTCATTATCATAGAGTTGCTTGATGTATTCCAAGGAGCGGAAGATTGAACATGGGTGACATTCGAGGAATTAAAAACCATATTTATCGTTCTGGTTTTGTTTTCTTTATATAAGAAATGCGTCACAATCAAAATTAGTAATCTAAAATGTAGACGAATGTACTAAATATAACTATAAAATTCGATATAGACATTTGGCGAACACTACTTCAACTTTCTTGAAATCGACACAGAATGCGAAAGGGAGAAATGAACCAAAAAATATACTTATCAATCGTGAACCACTTCTACATTCACATATGTTTCAATCATTTGTTGATGTCCATCACTGATTCATTGATAAAAAGTATGATCATGAATGTCAATTACAAGACAATACTAGTCCATAGATGATGAGTATGTTACAGACCATTGTCCATGACTTTGTCCTTGCTTAAGGAATTTCTCAGAAGATTCACAGCTCATCTTAAATTCAAGCACGATGAAAGAATAAAAATCTCAATGGAAACAATCGACTTTGTTACATTTTTAAAATGGAAAATGATCGAATATATAGTTATATTAGACTTGTATCTGCCTTACTCTGATCAATATCAATACAGTTCAAGTCGTCGAATCATATCTTAGGTGAATTTTATCATGATTTGGATAGGTTTCGCTGTTGTCTGGAACAAAAAGCAATATCAATCTTGTTCATCGCTGCGAAGTGAACCATGATTTATTGTATTGTTGTCGTTGTTGTTGTTGATATATATAAATAAATCTATGTTTATTAATATCTAAAAGAGACGAGAAGAGATAATTCATATTGTAACCGACCAACTTGATTAAATAATCGTTTCTATTCTAATGTCTACATTTAAGAATAGTGAACATCTAATGAAGAACGAAATAGAGAAGAAGAAGAAGAAGAAGAAGAAGAAGAAAACCGAAAAAGAAAAACAACAAGAACATCTTTATTGCAGAACATAGTTAAATGTTGCTGTATTTGTCGTGAATAGGTTAATCGTCAGTGTCATTGTCGTCCTCTTCATTACCTAAAATAACAGTCCATGATCGATAATAAGAATCACTGGTGAAAGAAATCATATCAAAAGTACTCACTGCTATCATTGTCGTCTTCTATGTCACTTTCGGATAAAGTTAAAAGACGAAGTGGTGGCCGTTTATCTATGAGATAATCATCCGCTGATAACGGAATGGGTTCATAGGGTATTAATTTATATTTAAATGGAATCTCATCAGTATCTGTTGAATGTTCAGATGTTTTTTTGGAATCGTCTTTCAAAACACGTTTTATTTGATCTAATGTATCTGTATCCATATCTGTCGAATAATAGAGGTTAAATGTATTTTTTGAATTCATTTTTCGTTGTTTTATTAATTCGGATTTGTGTTGTTCATATTCAATAATATGATGACGAAGATTTTCATAATCATTTGGTTCGGATAGAGGCATCGATAAAGATGGTAGACCAATATCAAGAAAAAATTGTTGTGTATTTTGTTGAATAAATAGAGTTGAAAAACCATGAGAATAGTAGTACCATTCTATATGATTATATTCATCAATAAAATCTTTCCTATTTAAACAACAACGTACTGCACGAATGAATGCTTTTCGTATTCGTAATTTTGGATTAGAACAAATTGGAATATAAGAAATATTTTTCAATAAAGCAATTTGATTGAGAAAAGGATAATGATAGACTTTTGTCTGTAGTTGACCATTATTATGGCTTATATAGACATCATCAAAATGAATCATTTTACTAATAGTCGGTTTAAGATGAGTAGAAGAATGATGATTGATCTCTACATCAAATAATTTTTGTAACTGACGTTCAGATCCATTCCATGTAAAAAATGCTTCATCTACATGTCTAAAATTGTTATATTTACAAAAAAATACTTCGTGGGATTCAAAAAAAGAGTCAAGCTATTAGCCTACCTTCCAAATATCTCTTGTGTATTATTTATTAACATAGTCCATAATAATGGTCTACAATGATATAAATAAATGTAAGCTAAAGCCATAGTCAATGGTAAACCAGAAACACCGCCAACCATTTGTCGATAAAGTTTATTGTTATAGACAAAATATTGATTGTATAAAACGAGACGAACAAGTTGAAGAATTGTTTCAATACTTATACGGTGTTCTTGAAAATTTTCATCGGATAATCCATAAGTATGAAGAAAATCTTCTAAGATTTCAAGTACTTCTTCATGTAGAAATATGTTACATAAATCGTCCATTGTAAACGTGACAAATAATGTTGTTGGTTGAAGACGATGATGATGGTGAGCATAAATTTCAAGAGCATGTACAGCATCAGCCCCTTGTAAAAAATTTTGACAATGAGTGACTCGATCAAATATGGACCAAAGTAAGTCAGAAAGATGATCAGCTATTAGCATTGTAGGCCCATTATTACAAATGATAATCGGTCGAACTGACCAATCTTCCTATTGATATTCAAAAATTAAAATAAGGTAAGAGAATTTCAATTGAACAACAAAAATATACTGACTTTATTGAGTTCAGGGACAAAATACAAATAATTTAATTTTACTTGTGCTCGATTTTGACTCATGCATGTATATTGAAATTGATTGAGACATTTAGTTTCAAATAATTCATACAATGTTGTTTCTACACGATGAACAATATTCATCAAATATCGTTGTGTTATATGTTCTGGATTGGGTCCGGTTAATTGTTGAATAACCAAGTAAATTCCCTTTTCTCTTATATAATTGGACGATTTTCGTTCAAAATTTCTTCTTTTCAATGCTCGAAAAACATGACCTCTATAAGAAGTACGTAAAACAATCTTGTTTGTCTTCAATTGACGACGAATCGATAAAAGAATTCGTTTATCTTGACAAGCTATTTGACGTATTTGTTCATTCATCATTGGCTTCAAATCCATATGACGAATTAAATCAGTCAGATCATCGAAATCTTTGTTTTGTAGAATCAATGGTACTTTGTGATGATATGATAAATCTACATTACCATCATCAAAATCATCGATATAAGTGTCATCATCTTCTTTTGGTTCATATACAGTATTGTCGATCATTTCTTCCATCGTTGTAAAACAATATTGAGATCAATCTGAACTATATATATATCTAGAATAGATGCAAGAGAACAACAATAGATTGGTGAATAGAAAGAAAAAAGGAAAAGAAATCAAACAATCTAAATAGTTCTATTCTTATTTTACGAGAAAACGTACCACCAAGCTTAAACATGGAATTTAATTGTGTAATTCATCTGTAGGAGAAAAATTTCCATTGTCAAGATTAAGGCACGTCAAAGCGACGATGACGATATCTTTTTGACTACACTAAAAAACCTCATCAAGTGACTTTTCGAGTTCCTTATAAGGGATTTGTATGGCAATCAAAGAAATCAAACTTGTCCAATAGTGAATGAAATTTTTCTTCCATATAGTAGATATTCTTTGAACTTTTTAATACTTCTTTAAAAATTAATTATTATTCATATTAGTATAGATGAGAGAGTTTTATATAACCCTTCTCATTATGTGTACGTCGCTAAATAGATATACATATAGTTGCTATGTTTGTAGCTATCATACAAGAACCAATGTAAACCAATGAACATAGAAACCATTGATAAGTACTCTGGACAATGAGATATGTCCATATGAAAGTATAACAAAAATTGGATACTATAGAGAAATTTGATTGTTTTGTATACAACGAATGAGAATAATTTATATCTACGGTAATTCATGCGTGTGGTAGAGTAAATAATCGTGCACACATATAGATGATGAACAAATACCGGTGTATGAAACGAGCGTTCAAGTAATAGATCAACGAATGCGTCATACATGGCGTACAGAATAATACATGAAGAAATACGAATAAAATACGGCGAATAATAATAAAATAAGTTAAACTAGGATCGATATTCATTTTCTTGTACCATTGTGTTTTCTGTTCTGTTTCGATGATTATCTAGACATGGGTAGTTCGGGTTTGATTTTCCTCGGTTAAATTCATTACAACCATAAATCGTTCTTCCTTTTCCGGTTGAGTATCATTTTCGTTATAAATAATTTCTTCATATTGTAAAGACGGATTTTGTCGTTGTTCAGTTGCGATACGAGACGCGAAATAGTTTATTAAATAGATAATCTGAAGGTTGATTACCATTAATAATAATATTCCAACAAGAACAATCATTAAAATAGGATCAGTCATGTTAGAACATTTCTTGTCAGTTATCATCGGTAAGGGTGTTGTTGACTTGCCACTAGGATCACCATGATATATCGAATCAATATATTCTTTTAGAACACCGTACTCATAATCATTCGGACACCACCAATAGTCCACTCCAATAGAACTCATAGGAAGTTCGAAACATGTAATTGTTGTCAAATTGTTATTCGTTTTCATTAAGAGTATATATGACAATGGACAAAATATATATAGTGATCTGAAAACAAGAAGAAGTGAATAGCAAGAAGAAAGATAGATATCGTTTTCAATGAAAACAAGAAAAAATGATCTAAAAAAATAAACAACTTTACTTTGCTCTAGTTCTAATCCATTCGAAAGATTAAATTTATTTGCCAATAGAAGATAATTAGCTTGTAGTAGAACGAATCGCAATTGGTATCGTTGATATGGAACGAGATTTTTGTTGGAGATATCTTTACTCATGCATCGATTCATGCTTCGTGAGAGAATGAAGTGAACCTTGACTATAATTTTGCGACCTTCATACGTAATAGAAAGAATAGATTCGAAATGATAGCTACTGCTATTGAGCGTTCGTTTCAGTTATAGGAGACGACGAGAAACGACTATAGCACAAATACGCTAGTGTCGATAATAATAATGCATTATCTCTTTTTAATAAAGACGAACTATGTTTCCGAGCGAATGAGACGAGGCATAATAGTAAAAAATACGATTGAACGAGGAATGGAAGAAACAGCAAGTATTTTGCTATGAATCATGACAGTAGACGTCGGTAAAAATGGATGAAACATCGCCGTAATATACAATAGATAAATTCGGTGTTGCTGAATGAATGAATTGGAATATCGAATCGAGGACGAAGATTAAAAAACAAATGTAAGCATACGTAATGAATTATCTTTGTACGATAATTGTACAACATGATTTTGTGTAATTCATGCAAATTGAATTGATACAATGTTTAATAAAAATGATTCAATAATGAAATCAGTTGAATCAATGCGGGTTCTTCATTCCAATCAAGATGATATTGAAGCAAATCAGTAGGTGGTTTTTGTTTTCTATAGAATACGACTTGATTCTTATGATTAATGAAATTATTCTCAATCACATTTGCTTTCTTTTTTGTTCAGTAGATAGATCATTGAAGAAATGGTTCAAGTATTGATGAGTATTCAATTAAAATAATAGTATGACTTAATTTATCTAGAATAAAAAATAAAAAAGAAGAAATTTTAATTGTCGCACAAGATAAATAGTTCGATTCAACTAATAAAACGATATACAATGAAACACATGTGATAGATACTAAAACAGTGATATCCCATAAGATGTTTTGATAGTTGTTGTTTTTTTTTCTTTCTTTCTTAAATACAAGGTTTTTTTTTCTTCTTATGTGTGATCGATAGTATGTAGAATAATGGATGACAAAAGATGAATCTTGAGTATAGTCATTCGAATCTAAATCAAACATAAACGAAATAGATAACATATCCCTAGAAATAGTCATCATTGATTTACTTTGGTTTCGTAGCATATGGGTTCTAGTTTGATAATTCGCTAAGTACGAGTAGATCGACCTGGATTTTTCTTGTTTTGATTTCTTTTAACATGAAATCGTTCATGTCTATCTGGTTGAATATCATTATCTTTCAAAATGATTTTATCATATTGTAGTGAATGATTTTGTCGTTGATCAGTTTTAGTACGATAGATTGCATGTGTTATTATAGAGACCATGACAAGGTTCATGGCAACTAATAATAAGATTCCAATGAGAAGAATAATTAGAAGAGGATTGATCCTGTCAAGACATTTCTTGTCAGTCATCATCGGCAATGGTAATGCTGTTGGTATGACGCTAGTTTGATCATTAAATATAAAATCAATATATTCTTTTAGAACACTACGTTCATAATCATTCGGACACCACAAGTTTTCTACTTGACTTAAATTTACAGGAAGGTCCAAACATGTACTTATCGTTGAATGGTCATCCATTTTTGCTAAGCTTGTCGATAACAATGTCAAAATAATCAATGGTGATCTGAAAATTATATTCAATCAATACCGATAAGAAAGATGCGCTCAGAATTTAACTAAAATGGATTTAGATAAGAAACATAGATAGTCACATAGAATATCCCCAACAACAACAACAAAAGAAAACAAAACAGACAAAAACGAATTGAAATATTGCTGAAAAATATGAATGCTAACAAATACCAGGTTCACATGATATCTAGTACGGATTCGAATAGCGCTCTAACAGAATAATAAATCCATCATTGGATGAAAATCATGACGACTACTATAATTCAATTGCAAAAAAGAACAACAAACATTTATTTCATTTTCGTCGACAGAAGCAATTTTGAAATGACGAGTCTGTCTTTGAGAAGATTTGTCGCGAAAAGATGCGTATCATTATGATGACGATGAAGAAAAATCTCAAACAAAAACTCTTTTCAATAGAATGGGGCACTAGAATTTGTCAAAAGTAGAGTCGATCAATTATCTAACTTTCTCTCTCTCTCTCTCTCTTGTTAAAAATAAAAAGAAATTAGTTCAATGACGAAATAAAACTACTACTCTAGAAAAAAGTGATTCTGACGATTTTTCATGCCTTATTTCAAGAGTTGACAAGTTGGCTTTTGTTCCGTCAATAGAGTATTTAAAGAATATAAATGTTTAGCATTCAGAAGAATTTTTATCTTCTTCTTCAATGATAATCTTGATTGATTTGCCATAGAAGTTGACCAAACTTCATGAACTTTTTCTTGAAATTTTTCATATGGACCATAGTCATAGAGATAATACAAACGTATTAAATCTTCATTATCTTCTATTTCTAAGTCTTTATCATAATTTTTACATTGTTTTTTCATTAGATCGAATAAACGACGACGTAATTTATCATAGATAAGTTCATTCATACAAAATCGATATGCTTCAATATTAAAATAATCATAAAATTTTTTAAATTCATTTTCAATAAAATCATTTGAATAGCCGTAAGTTAAACAAGTCATTTCCAAATAGATACGTTCTTGATTAAAATCTTTATAATCCGAACATAATTGCACTGCATGTGTCAGTGCTGAACGAAGCCAATGTTGATGTTTAATTTTTGGATGACCCACAACATACGGTAAAATTAATTTCGATGTATTTGGTGAATGATACATACCTGTGTATAATTCACCGAAACGATTTTCTATATGAACATTTAAATAATTGATACAACGACCCCATGATATATCCATATGAATACGTTGATATTTTTCTTCAATTCCATTAAGAAACGTACGAAGATCATGTTCGGAATGATTCCATGTAAAACAGATTTCATCTTTATATCCAGCAATCAATTCATTTTTTAATCGAGTATCATCGAAGATTATTTTTTGCCAACAATATAAACAATTGATTAATAATAAATCACTTAATAGCATGCTATTAGGCATACCTTTGATATAGTGATAAATATGTCCTTGATAATAAAATAGATTATTATCGACAATTAAATCAAATAATCGTTCGATGGTAGCAAGAGATATATTATCAATATGTTCTAAACAGGTATTATCCTCTAAGACACAACGAAGTTTATTAATAATAAATTGACTTGAATACATCGTATAAAAATTAGTAATTTTAATTCGAGCAAATAAAGTAGTTGAGTGAAGACGATGTTCAATTGAATAATAATGTTGAAGTTTTTCAATCAAATCACTCTCATTTACCATCATATTTTGTTTTATGATCGGTATTAATATAGGTCGAAGTAATCGATACATATAATTTGCTAATTTCCATGTCAAACTATGATGCATAGAAAACATAGGTTGGACAGTGAGAGAGTGATTTTCTATGGAAATATTTGGTAAAAAATAGAGATAACCTAATTTTATTTCATCCAATGTCACGTATAATTTTCGATAGATGTTATCAGAAATTTTATTACCTCTTAATAAATGTTCTAAATCAGTATTCATCATATAAATTTTTTTATCTAATTCATATCGAATATCTTGTTGATTCTTTGCCGTTGAAGTAAATAAAAGGCGATAGCAATCTTGATTTTTCATTATAAAATCATGACATATTTCGTCAAATGTATTCTTATTCATAAGATAAAAATTATTCATATGATCTGCCGTTCTTCGTAGAAGAAGATTATTATCTTTCAAATACGTTTTGATTGACTGTATTACATGTTGTTCATAGAGAGCACGTTGACGAATATTTCTCGGTAGAGGTGTAGAAAAAAGTGTACGAAATGTTTCTCTGATATTCTTCTCAATATTCTTTGATTGTTGTTCATGGAAACGGTATTTTTCAAAGAGAGTCGTTAATTGATGTTGTAAAGATTCATATTGTTTTGATAGTTTGATATCGATGGATGATGGTAAGAGTGATGATGAAATTTTTATTTGACAAGGTGCAACATAAGTAGGTCCACGATTTAATAATTGTAATTGTTGTTGATTGAGATGATGTGTGACGTTGTAATCGACAATGAAATGTGTAGAAAAACCAATACGTTGTATCGTTTTAATGTTTCCCTTACGAATTTCTTCTAAATGACCAAACGACCAACGAAGATCATAATTTATATGAAAATTACATATAACTTTCATTTTTTCTTTCACAGTTTTCAAGCGTTGATCAATTAAATAGATTAATGTTTGCGTCATTTCTTTATTTTTGACGTGACGATGATGATTTTGTAACATTAAATTCATTTCGTTATTCAATATCGTTTCATATTGATAGATATTTGCTTCAATCGCAGCTAAACGTATAGTCATGAGATCTGTTTTAGTTTGTTGAATTAATGTTTCATAACGATAGATGAATTGTTGACGCTGAATATGTCGATTCGAAATCAAATTTAAGCATGTAGGAAAGTCGATTTGTAATTTATCATAAGATGTTGGTGGTTTATTATAGAGAATGCGCAAACGTTGAAGAATGAAATCACTTTTCATCTTTTCTAATTTACAATTCATTTCATACATATGTCTTGCGATTTCTATCTAAATAAGTAATCAATGGAATTATCAGATAAAGAAAATCTATTTTTCTCGTTATTTACTTGATAATCAGTTGGCTTTTCTTGTTCATACTCATATTGAAGTTGAAGATCTTCATAATTGTTATGAAGTATAGCAATAGCAAGATGACATTTCATACGAATTGGTTCTAGACCATAATGTTCAATCAATTTTTCAATCGATTGTTCCATGGCTGGTGGTAGACTGATGAACGATTGTCTTTTTTCATTGAATTGTTTTTTATAGAAATCTAATTTTTCTTGATATACACGTATACGTTCTTGAACGAGAAGTTCACAAGCGGCATGTTGATCTTCTTCAGTAGTCGTCTTATCCATTGATGTAGCTTTGTCATGTGTTAACATCATGAGTGATTTTACATGTTTAGGCCAATATCGTTGATAATTCTGATGTTTATTTCTTTTTTCATTTTGCCCTACGTTTAATTGACCTGTACCTGATTGCAAATAAATAGACCATAAATGATAGAGTCTTTCATAGAATACGATTTGATGTCGAAAAAAAGCCAGTTGTCGTAAATTTTCTATATTCATAGACGATGTTCTATCCATACGTTGTTGAATTATCTGATCAAATAATCGATGTTTACTTAATAGATAATTGGGTATAGTTTCTTGCTCTTCGTTATCATCACTATGATTAACAACTTTTTTTCTTTTCCATAGTGAAGTTGTCAGCAAGGTCGTCAGTGTATCTACGGGTGATCCATGACGATCTGTAGATTGTTCTTTTTCCTCATTATAATTAGTTGATAATAATTGACTGAGTCTTTCTAATAAAATATCTTCTTCAATATTTAACTAAACAAGTGAAAGGAAAACGAAGTATATTAGTTGATCTATCATATATTCAGCTGTACATTATTATTATTTGTATACTTCTCATGAATAGTGTCATTTTCATACAATATTTGTTCTTCTTCTTGTTCTTCTTCTATATGACTTAAACAAAGATCGAAATTGAAATGCTGATTAAAATCTTCTGTTAATTTAGTATGATATTTATTGTAATCCATATCATTCACATTCGTATCGTCATTACCATCGATGATGTCAAAGATATCTCGAAAGACATTGACATCATCCTGTTGAAGAAAGATAGAAAAAGATAAATATAATAATTCAAAAAAGAAAAAACGAATGCTAACCTACTCTATTATTATTGATTCGATCCTTTGTTGTTATTCTCAAAATGGATTGATCTGTATTAGTTGATATCATACTATAAAATGAATGTATGTTGTTGAAAGAGGAAATAACAATGATACGAAGTTCAATCTAGAATAAATGGATTGTGTCGAAGACCAAGAAAAAGAGTTGCTATAGATAAATGCAACTACACTAGGATCGAACAGATTTCTAACATTTATATATATATATATATATATATATACAGAGAGAGAGAGAGAGAGAGAGAGAGAGATGGGGAGAAACACGAGAAAAGAAAAAAGAACACTATTAAAGAGACAATTTATTTTTATTCTTCACTTCTCAACATTTTTTATTCAAGTCAAACATGAGCAATGACACCTTTATTCTTGGATGTCCATCGATAATGTATTGTGATAATTTCGTTTAGTTTTTTCTTTTTGATTTTCTCTCTTCTATCTATGCTACCGTTGGTGATAAATCTAAAATAGAAGAGAAACTTTCATAAACAATGTAATCTAATTGAATTTCGCTTTGTTTTTTCATTTACTAGTTGTTTTATTATCTTGATTCATATTTGTAAGTATTGAATTTGAATGATCAGTCATAAAATCCATTTGATTGTCTATATTTGTCATTACATCACCGACACGACCACAAAATAAATAGTATACATAGAACAGACCGAAAATCTTTACGATAAGAATACTATTTAAAATAATATCAAAGATCATCCATTTATATCGATCGATGCAACCTGTCGTAATTGTTGTATTCATAGGTGAAGAAAAGCTGGGTATCATGCTAGAATTCATATCAAGAAAATCGACGAGGTTCACTATGATCTAAAATGTACAAATAATAATGATTTTATTCTAATACATAGGCAATAGAACAACACCAACCATAGTGGCATCCCATTGATGTGAAGAGAAAAAAGAAAAGAAAAATTTCGATCATTTCTTTCAAATCAGATAGGCCGTCGTGCCTTCTCAATAAAAAAGTGATCAAAGAAAATGGTAACAATAACTAGAGAAACAAGAATAACATAAATGAAAAAAAAGTATCCATGAAATTGATAACAACGAATATCTATGAAAACAACAGCAGAATTAAATAAATGGATGCATTCTCGTCGATAATCTAAGAATAATAATTGAAAAGAATACATAAGATATTAGCTAATAGTAATCAACTATAGATGATCATGATCAAATGTAGCTTTGATGTATTACATACTCGTTAAGACAATACAGAGAAGGACTCCGTCGATTGAGCTCATCTGCCGCCTACGAAAGAAAGTTCGTATGAAAATATAAATGCGCATTGTCTTTTACCATCGTGTTGTCATCGTTTTCAATGGCAGCAAAATTGATATCATGTTGCTTGATATTAAGGGAATCTTTCTTGTCTTTGGTAAACTTTCGACTTCTTCGACGACAGTGACTGCATAGAATCAATAATAAAATGAGACTGATAATCATAAAACCCACAATTAAAATAATGTTTTGTAAACCTTGCTTATTTATCATCCTGACAGCCGACAAGAACGAAGTATTTGTTGGTTTTATACGAGTATGATTAAAAATATCGATTAGATCCTGTAATACTTCAGGAGTGGGTCTGAGAGGTATCGAAAATAGATGAGTATAAGTGTCGTTGATCGGTATTTGAAATGTCGTTCTATTAATACCATGGAAAAAAACCGATACCATGATTGAATAAAGAAGTCGATCAAAACCAAATGGATGTTTTGTCTATGCGTGTTATTTTTCTACAAAGAACCAAAAAGAAAACAAAAATAAGTGAGTTCAATTTAAAACAATGGTTTCATTTCAAGATCATTTATGTCTTTTTGCTCGAGAGTCTTTATCAGTGTTTGAAGTAGTAGAAATCGTCGAATATAATCTAAAATATAGACAAAGATGTAATAAAAGAAACGTTCATACACATATATATTGCTTGTATGACAATGAATAGATTTATTGAAGGAAAGAAGCAACATTAATTACATCTGGATAGTGAACAATTTGAATATTAAAAAGACGAAATTTTGCCACATAATGGATATAGTTTATATCGATACATGGATTGTACTTTGTCAGTAATATTCGTTAAACGTTGTTCAATTAAATTTAATATCACAGAATGAAATTGTTGATCGATTGGTAGGGAATGTTGTTCTCGCCAGAGTTTAGCCATACTATCATCGAATATTTTTTGTGCATCACACATATATACTTGAGATATATTGCGATAGATAGTAATCATGTCATTTTTATATCGATGAATTATTTGTTGATGTCGATGAATTAAATATTGACGAACACTAGAATCATCAAGTGTTTGAATAAATGATGGAAGTGGTATGTGAATCGAATTGAACGAAGCGGGTAATTTTTTTTCTTCTAGATATTTTTGAAATAGTTTGACTTCTTGTTGACTTTTTTCAGATTCATATTTATGAGAACAGAGATTTTCAATGAATTGTATCTACACATATGAAAAATATCGAAAATTTTATATTAACAAAATATAAAATGAATCGTATGAATTTTTTACTTGATGATCATTTAGTTTTTGTTGTTGTTTAATTTGAAATGCAAGTCGTTGATCTTCATATTCATAACCAATAAATTCTATGGCAAATTCATAGGCAATCTGTAATGATTGAAGATTTTGTTGGATAAATGTTTGAAGTATCGGTGCAATAGTGATTTCATAATTAGATAGAGGTTTTATCTTTTCCTTAAGCTCATTCTGATAATATTCATACTGATATTCTAATCGTCGTAGTTGAGTCTGAACAATGTTTAAACAAATTTCATCGGTTACATCTTTCTCCGTATGATCAATATGACTGCATGATTTAATCATGGATTTTAATAATGATGGCCACATTTTTGGACCATTTGATTCTTGTTGTTGTTGTTGTTGTTGTTTTGTCTTTAACAGACCTGTACCAGACTTTAAAAATGTCGTCCACAGTGTTCTTTTTAAATCACTTGTCATCGAATGATGTATAAGAATAGCTACGTGTCGTAATTCATCGATATTTATAGAACAAGTCATAGTATTATGAGTTACGTTTTGAATCATTTGTTCAAATTGTTGATTTGTTGGTAACAAGTAGGTGGGAATATCTTGTGTGTCTTTATCAGCAACGGTTTCGCAGAATGTTTTTGATGATCCATTGATATGCGTTCGTTGTCGTTTATGATTTATCAATGGTTTGTTGGATGTTAACAAATCATTTAAATTTTCTCCTACATCAATTTCACTGTGATCAGAATCACTCTCATCGATATCGATCATGATTGAAATGAATTCGACAAATCTAGAAGACAAAAAAAGAAAAAAGAAAAAAGAAAAGAAAAGAAAAGAAAAGAAAAGAAAAGAAAGGAAAGAAAGAGAGATGGAAGAAAATGTAAAGCATTCACAGAATAGGATTGACTAAGATCATGATAAAGGCAAGAGAAAGATATGAAGCTTTTTTTTTATCATATAGAGAAAAAGAAAATTAAATTAAACTATAATGTTTTTCGTATGTTTCTATGTTTTTGATCAGTTGTAAATAAATAATTCCTTTGTTTTTGATTGTCAGTAACATGTCGTCGTTGTTGTTTTTCTTCATGTTTAAGATCATTTTTTCTTTCAGTTTTGGCAACATTCATATCTTCTTCATCATTTTCATCATCGATAAATCTCATCGGACATTGATCTTTAAATTTCTGCTGATAATAATGTATATATAATTCAGTGGATGGTTGGGAACCATTGTCTTGTTGTCTGTATTCAGACTGAAGTCGATCGAGCATCGGTAATTTTATCATATTCAGTTTAGAACAATTCGTTTCCATTAAGAAAAATCTACAATACAAACAATTAGAAACGATATTAATAAGGGTCGTATAAATGAAATGAAAATTTTTGCTATTTTTAATTTTTTCCTTTTTCGTCTATGATATCAAGATATTGGTAACGAGAGACAACAGAAAATGAGATTAGAGATAGATGAAATAAGAAAAGTATCTAAAACGAATGAGATTGTCATCGATTCGATGGCCGTTGTAAATGTTGACACCAATTCAATGAACGTTCGAAATGAGATGGAAATTGAGCTGTGTTGGTATTTAATTTACATTCAGCATGTGTCACTAATAACGCTTGGACATAATGTAATAGTTCAGATGAACATTCTTCCGGCACTAAGACAAAAAGAAGAAGAAGAAGAAGAACAAAAAAAAACGATTGTAATTCATGTTAACTTGAGAAACAAAAAGCTGCAAGACATACATGCAATAACGATGGTTGCATGATAAATATCGAGATGTCGAAATAATGGATAACAATCTAATTTTGTTTTAAAAAATTCATATTGTTCTTGAAGTTGTCGTTTTGAGAAACGATAATGAAGAGGTGGTTGAGGAAGATGATCCATACACCAATTTATAATATGATTAGTACGAACTTCATTTGTAGTTGTTGTTGTTTCTGATGAATTTAATTTTTCATCAGTTATATTTTCTAAAAGTAACTTTGTTTCAATGATATGCTTATATAAATCATCATCGACATCGGCTTCTTGATCGGTCATTGGTATTAAACACCAATAAGTTGAATGAACATTTAGAAATAATTGTAAAGCTGCATGACAATGTACGATATGTCGATAGAGATCCATCGAATTATTTTTCAATATTCTATAAGAAACGGAAATTTTGTTTCATTTGCAATACCAGAAAAAAACACATTCAATAAAAAATATACTCGTCTGTTTCTAATGATGGTTGACCGAAACGATTTACAATAGTTTCACCAAGAAGAAATTCACGTATAATTCTTGAACATTGTAAACAATGATAATAGAGGCGCTCGTAAAACGAATCATTCGTACGCCCAACATAATCATATTTTTGACATGGACAGGTTAATGTATAGATGACATTGGTGGAAGAACAATTGACATCACAATTTAATATAGCTTGGTATTGATTGACAAATGTATGAATTTGATGATCAGTAAATTTTAGTGCTGATGCATAACGCCCATTACAATTAGGTATATGACAAAGTCTACATTTATGATAAGAACATTGTTTCATACCATAATGTGCTTCTGGTGGATTGATACAAAATAAACCCTCATCAACATTCTGATTTATATAATCAATAGACCGTGGTTTACTATTACGAAATGAACACGTTTTTAAATAGAAACAATCCACATCCATTTGTAAATAAAATTCTAGAGCATATTTCCATTCATCAATTGTCCATCGTAATGTCGATACATGACATACAAAATCTTCTAATGATAATTGAAACATCGATGAAATCATCTGTTCATAATTGTAAGCAAGTAGTGGTACAGATACACGCCATTGTTGACTTAAATTAATAAAAAGTTGATATAATAAATGTGTATCTTGTCGTATTATTGAAGGGTCGCTAACATTTTCATAACAAATCAAATCATCACAACCATGTTGACGACGAAAGATTTCTTCAACACATAAGTTTAATACTATTCATTTTAAACGAAGAAAAACTTAATTAAAAGAAAAGGAGAGAGAAAATTTTACGAACATGGTACATTGGTTAACAGTAGATGTATGGATGATTGATCATCGATATTAAGAGAAGGAAATTTAGGTAAACTATGCCATCGTTTCATATTATGAATAGATAATGTTTTTGGTTGATAACCACTTTGTTGTATTGATAAGTCAAGAGGAGGTAACATTGATTGAATGGGCAAATTCGAAGACGAAGGAGACGAAGAAGAAACTTTTTCAATTTTTAATGATGTCAAAGATAAATCATGAGCAGAATAATCGTTGATGATTGTTTTTCTAGAAATATCTTTCTGATCACAATCATCGACCTCCATGAAATTTTGCAATTGATTATTCAATGACGATTCCTGTTTTATAGTTGACATTATTCTATGATCTGAAAACAAAGAATAAGCAAAAAAGAATCAAGAATAATCAAAAGAATGAAAATGGCGAAAACTTTTAGTACTTCTTTCTTTTTTACCGTTTGAGCATTAAAAAGAAAAGAGAAAACAAATCCTGTAATTTTCTATATCGATCTATATGATGTCTAGAGTATTTACAAGTGCTAAATGATTTCTAAATATTTATAACTATTCACAGTTTGAAAATGTTGAACAATTTGTGGTCGGAACGCAATGATTTAAAGATGGACATGTTAAATTTTCACACCAAACTCTATTCTCAGCATACGGTAAACCATATAAAAGATTTGTATCACTTGTAAATAAATTCATAGAATTCAATTTTGTCTCAGCATGAGTAATAAATAAAATTTCAATCATATGTCGAAGCATTGTTGAACATGGATCTGGTAGAACAGCAACAATAGAAGTACGATAAAAATCTAATGTTGAATATAAGTGATATTGTTGAGGATTAAATTTTTGAAAGAACTGACGTTGTTCATCTTGTTGGCGTTTAGAAAATGTATAACCTAGAGGTGGTTTCGGTAGATGCACAAGATAATGATCAACAATGGTATTTTGTTGTTCACTATTGGATAATGTTAATGTTAAAGAAGAGAAATCATCGAACTGAGCATCATTGATTTTCATTGGTATAAAACACCAATAATTTGGATTATGCTCAAGAAATAATTGTAAAGATTTCGAACAATGTGTAAAATGTTGATAGAGACGCATGTTATTTGCTCGTCCTTTATCAATTTGACCCTTCGTACAAGTACATAAATTTGAAAACGGTTCACCGTTTAATAAATATTCAATCATAAGACGATTGGAATGTTGTCGGTGATACTGTAAGATATCACTTAATGTATATTGTGTTGAACCAATGTAATCATATTCACCACAAACACATGTTAAAGCATAAACAATATTATTTGTTTGACAATTTGCCGGACAATTTAATATCGCTTCATATTTATTAAGAAAACAATGTTTATGTCCACCGGTTGAAAATGATACAAGATTTTTTGTTGAAGTTGAATCTTGTTTTGATTGACAAAGTGTACAATATAACTGTTGACATGATTTCATATCATAATGATAATAATTTGTTATCTCATCTGTACAAAATAATTGATTGATCGATTTTGATGTTTCAATACTACGACCTGTACATGTTTTCAAAAAAAAAAGATCAACATCCATTTGTAGAAAATATTCTAATAAAATTAGTAATTCTTTTTGATTTAACATTCTTAAATATTGTTCATGTGTTGGTAATTGAAAATGATGATCATATAAAATGGCTGATCGTTCATATGAACGATATTTCCATATAAATACTTTTATAATGTGATGAAGACGATATAAATTATAATTAAGAATGGTCGAATCAATATGTAAACGTTGACTTAAATCACTAAACAGACTTTCAAAAAGATAATGAATATACGATGGAACTTGTTGCAGTAAATTTGAATTTAATGGATTTTCATAAGCATTAAATGAGCGTCGAGCTAATTCTATGGTGGATAATTTATGAGCAGATACATTAGCTAAAAGTAGTGGTGTTTGATTTATTGATTGATTGCTTTGATTTGGAAATGTTGGTAAGAATTGACGACGTTCTTGATTATGATAATGAAGTGTTTTTGGTTGATATTCCTCTTGATTTTTGTGACAAAAGGAAGTATTTCTTTTCGTTAATTTCAATGGATAATGCCAATTTGATTTTTTCAATGACATAATTGAAAATCGACCAACAAATATATAACTAATTAAATAAGGAATATCACTAAGACGATAATAACAAATACTTTGAATAGAAAACAAGTCAGTAATAATTTCATTTAAATAAGTAGAATTTCTTTTCAGCAGTATTGTATTATATTCAATGCGATAATTTCAAAGAAATGAAAATAATTTTGTCGAATAAATTTGGAATGATGAGAGTATTCGGTAGTTTTCGATCGATTGGGTTATAATAATAACAATATGATGGCGATGATACTGATGATTGTTTGTACGTTGTTGTTCTTATTATTATATCTACAAGAAAGAAAAGATGAATTCATAACATATAATATGGTTGTCTTAGTTATAAGACAAGAAAGAAAAAAACAATGAGAACATATTAATTTTCAGAAAGAGAAAATGAAAACAAATTTATAAACAATTTTGGTTGAGTTTCTACTTTTTTTTGCGTTTTTTTTTGTTTTTTTTTTCAACTAAGAAGAAATCAATGTTGGTCGTTTTATATCTTCACACCATAGGCGATGATAAGGTAGTCCATAGAATTGTTCAGTATCGGTGGTATGTAAATTAAACATATTTAATTTTGTTTCAGCATGTGACGCAAAAAGACATACAAGTACATTGCGTAATAATGTTGAAAAGTTTTCTGGTAAAACGGCTATAATTTTAGCATAATAGACATCGACGGAGGTCCATAAATTTTCAGGATCCTTCATTGAATTAAAATTTTGAAAAAATTGTCGTTGTTGCTGTCGTTGTAAATTGGAAAATGTATAACCATTTGGTGGTATGGGTACATGTTGAACAAATAATTCGATAGTATTATCTATCGGTAGTCGTTGATGAGTATTAATTTTATCATCGATTATAGCTTGTTCATATGTCATGGGAATAAAACAATCATACTGAGGATTCATATTTAGAAATAATTGAATGGCTTTCACACAACGAGTTGAATGTTGATATAAACGAAATTTTTCTCTTTCATCATATAGAAAATGATCTTTATCATGTTGTAAATTATGAAACGATGATGATGATGTTAATGTATCATGCATAAATCGATTACCTTTTTCTCGAATACATGTAATTACTTCAGCTACAGTTGAAGGTGTTGATCCAACAAAATCATATTCACCACATGGACACGTCAACGCATAAATTATATTTGTTGTCAGACATGATGCTGGACAATTTAATATAGCATGATAAGCATTGAGAAAACGATGTGGTCGATCTGAATTAAATTCGATAGGTGATGATGATGTTTCACATAATGAACAAATTATATCTTGACATGGTTGAAAACTATAACGCATGAGTGGTAAATTTGATTTACAGAATAGACCTTCATCAAATGAACGTGGAGATGCACCACGAAATGAACATGTTTTCATATAGAAAAGATCAACATCGATTTGTAAGTAGAATTCTAAACCTATACTTAATTGTTTGTAATCAAGTGTTAGTAGATTATCTGTTGAATGAACTTGTTGTTGTTGTTGTTGTTGTGAGTATTCAGCAGTATTATTATTGTTCAATTGAACATAGCGTCGATCAAATATTTTTTTTATAAGTTCAAATCGTTCTATGACATTTTCAAAACGTTTCAGATTAAAATCAACTAATGATCTATTAATTTTTAAACGTTCCATTAAATCAGTAAAATTTCGCTTGAGAAAATCACTCATAAATGACTCCATTTGATCGCTCATAATTACTGGAATAAACGGACCATCATAATACATAGCATACCGACGATTTAAATCACTTGTACTCAAGAGGTTTGTTGACACGTTTGCTAATAATAAAGGTATTTGATGGATATGATATGATTTTATAAATGGAAAACTAGGTAAATATAAACGTCGATCTATGTTATGTTGATGTAAAGTGATTGGAATATAATCTTGTTGTTGTTGTTGCTGTTGCTGTTGCTGTTGCTGTTGCTGTTGCTGTTGCTGTTGCTGTTGCGATTGTTGTTGCATTACCTGCTCTTGTAATAATAGTAGTAGTAGTAGTTCCTTTTCTTGTTCTGGTACTTGTTGTCCTATTTGTAGTTGCTGTTGATGATGATCATGATTGGTATTCATTTGAATTTTTTGTGAATTATCTATTATAGATGATAATCTACAATGAAGAAGTAAAATGATAAAATATATTTACATCAATTTCATCAATTTCTTGATAAATGAAAAACAAAACTACAGTGCAAAGAAAACAAGTCATTCACAATCTATTGATTTAATCTTGGTTCGACATGTAAAATATATAGGGCTTGAATAACTGTACGCAAACGACAAGAAGCATATTCAGGTAAAACACAAAGAAGTGTTATATTATAGAGATCAGATGATTTTACAATGACTTCTTGTTTAGATATACATTGATGGAAAAAGTTACGTTGTAGTTTACGTTGATTTGATGTAAATACGGTATTCTTCGATAGTTTCGGTAGTTTTGTTATATATTGATTAATTTCGTCATTAATTAAATGAATTGGTTGTTCATTTTCAACGGATTCACTTGTTGACAAGTTGATAGTACATGATGTCGAAGAAGAAGAGAAAGAATTCGTGGTAAAATCATTGATATTTATTAAAAAGTTATTCTGTATTACATGTTCTAACAACATTGGAATAAAACAATAATATTGTGGGTTAACTTGAAGAAATCGTTCCAAAATTGTTGGACATTGTGTAATATGTTCATATAAAAGTGAATCTGATATTGTGCAAAATAAAAATGGTGTTGAAAATGAATCAAGAGATGAATTTAAACCAGTTAAATGTGTATGTATAAATTGATTTAATTGTTTTCGATAATAGAAAATGACATCCATTAAACTTTCTTTTGTTGATCCAATAAATTCACATTTTCCACATGGACAAGTAAATAAGTAAATAATATTTTTTGTTTGACATGTGGCTGGACAATTTAATATGGACTCATAACCATTGGAAAAACGATGTATCTCAAAGGATTTAAATCGAATCGTTGATGGTGATGATGATGATGATGATGATGTTTGACAAAGACAACAATTGATTTGTTGACATGGTTGTAGGCTATAACGTATTTCAAAATTATGTTCATTATGAAAAAGACCTACATCCGATGCGTATGATTGTGCATCGCCAAATGAACATGTTTTCATATAGAAAAGATCCACATCCATTTGTAAATAATATTCTAAAGCTAAAGCCATTTCATCATAGTCAAGTGATAGAGTGTTAGATTTGTTGTTCTGTTGAATTATTTTTGAATATTCATTTGTTATAAATGAATGAAGACGAGAAAGATTATAATCGATAATAGATACATTGACTTTTAAGCGTTGTTTTAAATTTGAAAAATGTTTATAAAACATATAATACATAAACGATTGGTATTCATAATGTGGATGATGATACATTATCGGTTGATGAAATACTGGAAAATAGAATTGTTCAGAATCACGTTGCAACAGTTGACGTAAACTAAGACAACAGCCTAGATATTAAAAGACAAAAAAAGATATTCCAAAACATAATCAATTTATCATTCATTGATGAATTGATGGAAGAAAAGATAATATGGATAATAAACACGAACTCTCAACATACGTGGTACATTGGCGAGAAGAAGTGATGATGAATTCGAGGGTTTTTCGTTCAATCGAAGAGGAAAACATGGTAAATAAGATAGACGTTTGTTTTCATTTCGACTATTTAAAGTTAATGAGTTGTAATCATTATTGAGTTGTACCATTGACCAAACGATATCCATCTATATAAATGTTTGTTATCATTAAAAAGACGTTTATAATCTACAATAAATGATGGAAATAATTCGATGAAATAAAAATCAAAAACTATATATACGAAAAGAAAACAAAACGAAGCAAAAAAAAACAGAATAAAAGAAGACAACATAAGACAACAAGTAGAAGTTCATTCAAACATTATTTCTTCATTTTTTTGAAAGAATAACCAATTGTTTTTAATCTCTGTACATCATCCACTGAATCTAATAATCGACTTATTTTATACCTGACCATTCGTTGTAAATCTTCATTATTGTTACTCTACAACAAAATATGTAACTATGAAAAATAGATAGAAAATCGTTTTGATTACTTTCGACGACAATATTTCTTGGAAATGAATATCATTTGCAGCTTCATCATTTATGCTAGGGTCCTTCAAATATTGCATAATTTTACTCCAATAAATCAACGTATGATAAGCAGATGGTTTCATCGTCATCGTGGAATTCATGGTTGACATAGATGAATGTTTGTTTGATCAAGTTAAATGACAAAAAAAAATTAATCTAAAATAAAGTAAAATAGTGAAGTAATCATGTAGCTGACACAAAAAAGCCACTAAGAAAAAAAAACGAAAGCAAGCAGAAAAACAAAACAACCAAACCCAATGAATATTTTATTTACACAAGTGTTCGAGGTCTTTTCTTTCGTTTGTAATGGATCATTTGACATGATGGAGTATTTCTCATTGCTCCCAATGGACATTGTTTTAACATTAAAGATAATATTTTTTTGATCGCCAAACAATTATATAAAACATACGTTTGCATTTGTTGACGATATTCAATTTCTTGTCGAATAAATTGGTAATAATTTTTATTATTATTATTATTATTATTATTATTGAATGAAAATTGACGATAATAAGTTTTCAAATTTGTATCAATGCCACAATTCCATAAAGCGTACTGCATTCTTGTATTTAACCATTCGTCAAATACAAGAAAGATAGCTGTTTGTAATGTGTACGGTTGATCTTTTGATCTTCCTTGATGGATGAGTGAATAGGGAAATGTTAATTTATACCAATGTTTAAAATGATCATGTAGATCATATAAATGCATATGGTCTAAATCATTTTCGCAAAATAATTGATAAGGATAAAATGATGACAATTTTTCTCTTGGATTTCCCCAAGCGTAAATAGTGTTGTTTGGCGAAAATATTTGTTTACACAGTTGTTTTATTTTTTGTTCTTTTGTATAATCTCTGGTTCTTGATGTAAAATTTGTTTTCAAATATAAAACTTCAATAAGAAGAACAAGAGGTATACGATCCATTGATTGAAATTGTATTTGTATTAATGATGGTACAATACGTTCAGTCCATGGAAATGGTTCCATTTCATTTTGAGTATCAATGATAAAAGAAAATGTTTGCGAAGCTACATCGATCAAATTCGTTAAAATTTCTGTTGATGTTTGTCGATGTATATATATATAATGGTAATTGGTCGTCGGTCGAAATAATTGATACCTAGATTGGTATCGTTGACATAAATCTTGATAATGTTGATTGCGTAGTACATTTTCTCGTCGATAACGTAAAGTTAATCGGTCTAATTTATCTAAAGATGATTCGGTTTGATCTACAGCAAACATTGATATGATCTAAAAAGTAAACACGAGCTATTATTTTCGAAGATTAAACAATGCTAATGGATGATAATTGATAGAAGAAAAAAGCTAAAAGCTAAAAACTAAACACAAACAAAACAAAAACAATTTTTTTTCTAAACAGTGAATTCATGTAGACGTGAAAATTGTTGTGGCAACAGATAATGATTGATCGAGGGTATCGTTGAATAATAAACGGGTAGTTCGTTGGGTGGTGGCACACCAATCTTCAAATAAAGAAGATTCGATGAGTAATTAAAAGAATGTGTAAACTTATTTATCGATATAATATCTGCTACTAGGGTTCTTACCTGAGAATTTTTGTTAAGTTTGAAAATCGATTGAATTTTTTCGTCTTTCGATGGCGAATGCTCCAATAGAAAAGAATTGGTATTTGTTGTATTATTTGAATCAGATCTTATTTGATTCAGTTTGTAGTTAAAGATCAATTTACTTAATTTAAAATAGAAAATAAGACATAAACCAGCCAAAACAAAACATAGAAATGTTAAAATCATTAAACATATAAACATTGGAACTGTATCTCTCATGTATAATTTAAACAGTTTCATTGAATGATCCATTTGAGAGCAACTATCATTTAGCGCATTTAAAAGGTTAATTATTGATCCACGATTTAAATTCTTCGTATAATTCATTATAGTTGTTATTGTTGTTGCTGTTGTTGTTGTTGGTAGTGGTGGCAGTGATGGTGATGCTGTTGTCGTCGTCGTCGTCGTCGTCGTCGTCGTGAATAAATCAGTGATAGTAGGTTGAACGAAAAATTGTTTAGAAGTGAATCGAGTTTGTAAACGTTTATAGTAATCTTCATATGGCATTATAAGTACGATCGAAAAAGAAATGTTAACTATAATAATGAATAGACGGTAGTTATTTTTGTAAAGAAATCTTCTTCTATCAATGTATATATTTATATATACATTGTTTTTATTGAATTAAATTGATATCAACAGTAACAGAAATGAAAATGATGACGCTTGTTTGTGAAAGAGGGCAATAAAGAAAAAGAACGAATCATACTGATTTTTGTCTACTCTCAAGATATACCCTGTTTTTCTGTTCAATCCCTTGATCATCGAAAAATATGCTAACGCGAACACCATGTACTAACGACAAGAATCAATACATTAATGTCATTCGACAATTTAATGGTACGAAGGTTTGACTAAAGAACAACACGGCTATTTGTCAAACAATAGAGACAATGGTTCATGGTATCTCCTGTTCATTGTTCGATGTATCTATCTATCTATCTATCGTCGATCTATGTAGTCTAATTCAGAGATGAACAATAAGTTAAAACAAGATGAAGTTATTGAAATATAAGACCAAAAAGAAAAAAAGAAACGAAAAAGCAGAAACAAGAAGATCTCATTAGAAAAAGGAATAATTCATATCTTACTTACTCAGACAATCGACGAATTTGATAATGAACAATTCACTGGAAGTGCATGACTATTTATAGGCCTGAGAGAGAGAGAGAGAGAGAGTGATTCAGAGAATTATTTTTCTCCAGACCTATATGGACAAGAGAAACGAAAGTAAATTATTCAGGATGATTGGTCACTCTTCGACTGACCAATGTATTCATGCGAAAAAGAAGAAAGCATCAGAGACAGAGAGAGAATGATGAAGTTATTGGTGAATTGCTTCTGACCATTGATGTTAAAGATGAGAAATGCAAAAAAAATAATTAATAAAGGATAAAAAAAACATACGACATTCCAGAAAGAACAACAACAACAACAAATTGGTACAATATCGATCAAAACAAAACAAAAATGAATGTTAGTTTTCGATGGTTATTAAGAAAAAAAAATTAACATTCGTTGAATTATGATCTAGACAACAGGAATAGATTTTCGAAAATTTTTTATAATTTATTTTTCAATTTTTGTTTTACATGTTCTATATGTTTACTGGCAAACTTGTGGAATCTCTGTTGGCTATTTACTATTAAATATGTCTAAAAGAATACAATATTCTCCTTTCTTTTTGTGCAACTAAAAAAATCAAAAAGATGTTTTCTGTTTTGTCTTACGAGCACTTCGGTCTGATATCTACGGTGTACTGGTTGGTGTGTTTCTGGTGTATTCACAATTGACATGAAAACACAGAACAACAATATGAGGAAGTCAGAAATCAGCACCCAAATAAAGTATTACTTTTTCACAAATCAAGAAGTGTTATTGTGTTTTTTTTAGTGAATTTACTTTTAAAAAAAAGTCAAACAAATAGGCGCCACTCATAATGTAAAGCTAGTTGTAGTGGTTACTATGTGTTGTTTAGTGGGGGAGATTTTCTTTTGATACTGTTTTCGAAGGAGAAGAGCCAGAAGAGTTCTACTAGAATGCGAAATCATTTTGACAATGGTACGATCATTTTCATCAAAATGTGACAAACAAAGCAAATCTTTTAAATATCTGCCTTGTTGTTGTTGTTGGTCTGATATTAGAAGTATTTAACGAAATAGAAAAAAAAACAGAAGAAGAAAATAAAAAATTGACAGACAATACATTGTCATCACGAATAATCATCACGATGTTTATTTGACATTTGTATCGTTGTTGTCAAACTAGAAAAAAGATATTGTCGAAAAGCAAAATCAATGATACTGTACGCCTGTCTGCCATCGATCATTGAAGTATGCAACTCATTCTTTTACGATTGTCTCGTCATCACTCAAGATGATAATGATGCATAGTTAACAAAATACTCAAACTAGCAGCGAAATGGAGAGCAAAGTGGATGTCTCCTTACTGGGACATACACACACACATATATATATAAGTTTTTTTTGCTCTATCTATTTCTTTATCCGGAATGACGACATAAAATATTCTTTTTTCTCATTCTTTTGACAACGTCTTCAGAAAAATTCCGAGAGACTCAAAGCTATTGAAAAAGAACTATTTCAAAAGAAGCTACATCCCTAGTAATTTTTATCGAAATCACGGTCCATCTCGTTCCAACGAACAAGTATGATTCATGAGATCAATCTAGATTACAATCAATACTTCTAACATATCTCCCCGATGCATCCGTGTCTACAAGGGAAACAAACATGACGCCAACAAACACTCCGATGTTAGTTTAATATCTCTTTGATTCGATATTTACAGAAAAGTGCGATCGATTCTTCATGAGATCAAAAAAACTAATAAACAATGGGATTAGAACACCGCTATGTTCAAAGACTCTTTATTTCAATCCATTCTTTATTCTATATTTTCACACAAATGCCTTTGATCTATGAATGAAAGAACAGGTAATTCACATGTTGATGTCAAGCATTCATTAATTCAATACATCTTTAATTCAATATCTCATACATATTCGTTTGAACCTTGAATAAATGAAAAGATAATAAACAATGGGATCTCAAATTATTGTTAGTTCAACACTTCTTTGATCGTCTATCCCTCGCTAAGCACGATCGATTCTTCATATTATCAAACGAATAATAAACAATTGGATATCAAATTATTGTTAGTTCAACACTTCTTTGAT